GGCTTGGTATATGGACTACAAGTATTTTATCCTTCTAGTTTTGGACAGGTGGAAAACCTCTCGATAACTGTGAATTAACTAATCTGGAGAGTTTCCCAACAGCACAGGCTTGGAACCAGGCGCCTGCCGCATCGCTGTCGAAGAGAAGCCGTCCCTCCGTGACTGGGGGTAAGGCAGCTCCTGCACCGACCGCGCACCCAGACCAGGTCCCATGAACGGGCGCTGCACAAGCAGAGCCAGTCCGTAACCCCAGAGATCTGGGCCCCAACAGTGCTCTGATATCAGTGCAAAAAATTATCCTGAGACAACAACCAAGTCAACATTTCTTACTTCAATGTAGCTAAGCAATCAACAATTTGAATGTTTTCATCATCTCTTACTTGCACCTCGGAAGAACAGCAGGTTTGAATGGCTCACTCTGCAAAAACACGGGAGGTGCCTTATTCAGTGCAGTTTTGCTGCGTGCTCATCAACACAGCATTAGGGCACTTTCCATGAACACATCAAGAAAGAGCTGTCAAGTTCATTTGCTCCCTACAAAGAAAAGAAAATTAAAAATGCATGCATGTGAACATCAGTGAGGAAGTACGGTGGGAGGTTTGTTTAGGGCTCTATTTTAGCATACATACTTCTACATATTAGAAAAGTCAACACCAAAACCAACCATCCGCAGAGCATCACTACGTTCTTACTCTCATTCGTATTTTACTATCCATACTATTCTCTGCCGCACATACTGAGATATTTTCTATGCTCAAGATTATCACTAATGCAGAAACTGATGCAAATTCCAGTTTTCACTATACTTCATAGTCAACATGAGTCCGTTTATCACTGTCTGCAGTTTACTAAATAAGGTCAAAAGTCTGCAGCGTTAAGTTCCTCACTCTCCGCCGTACATGCATTTCAATACACATCTTGAGCAACATTTGCTCTGACCACAAACATTGAACAAGTTGCAATACTTTGCCGTGTTATTTGAAGGAATTAATTACAATCTGTCTCCTTAGCAGAAAAAGAAGATGACTTCTGCTGAGAAACTGCCATCAAGTCCAAACACGGAGCAAAACCAACCTTCTCATCCGCCTCTCTGTGTAAATCCTGGCAACCCAGTGTTCTCCTGTGTGCTGGACCCCAAAACACTCACGACCAATGGTTCTTGGACAAAGCCTCAGGTTTTACTGTTTAAAACAACTTCAAGTGAATATGGTGCTATACCACCTATCTCACAGATGTTACCCTGTACTTACCACCCAGTGGATCAAACCTTCTCAAAATACTTACTCACTTTTGGGACATTTCAAGACAACGGTTTAAACACTGCTATCGACAGAAGCAGGGTATACGACTACCCCAATTTCCAGCATACTCTGTAAAAATGCATCTCCATCTTTTTGTCATAGACTTAGACTAGACACCTAGCTTTAAGAAAAAAATCTGTTATTTCAGTCATGGGAATAACTGTTGGTTTTGCTAGGTTGAACATGATGTATCTAAAAGGATGTAGCTCACCTGATGATATACTTCTCTCAGTCAGACTTAAACTCATACAAATAAAACTTTCACAACTGGTATAAATGTGGAACTCTAATTTTATAGAAAGAGTTAAAAGCAAAAGATACTGACCTGAAGGTTTATTTGTTTTAATTAAAATATTTTCTGATCTTAAAACTTAAAGACAGTCTCCACATTCCTATGTCTCAGGACACTAATACCAACATAATGCATATGACTTTGTTACAGTGTACACACCATCAGCTCAGGTATTTAAGTCAGAAGTTTAACGTCCATTTGCTGGCAATATAATCAGATGAAACAGGTAGATACTGTTCATGACACCAAGCATGCTTGCTTCTCTTAATCTTTAGAGAGGGCACTGTTTCTATTTCATATTGGTAGATATTAAACTGTCTTTATCTTGACCCACAAGTTTTCTCACTACATCAAAAATAGCCTTGAGCAGCTGTAACAAATCACTACAATACAAATAGCCTAAAGCCATGTATACAGATTGTTCTCATAGGCTCTGGAACCAAACCAGACAACACAGAACACACAACCAGTGTCTGCTTCTTTGCATTCTCCTTTTCCCATTGCCACTGTCTCTCCTCTTTAACCCTCGTTTCCACTCAGAAAATAACCATATTTTGGCAAGTATACCATTATACTCAACAGAGGCACACTAAAGCTCCTGCACCGCTCTCCTCCCAACTCCTGTAAATACAGTATCCTCACGTCCTTCCATTGCAATGCAGTAGGTGTCTGCAGGAAAGAAGGAACACAGCTACCCCAGACATTTCTGACTCACCTCAGCACTCCTCTCAAGGTTCAAGGAACTAGAAGAAACACCTGCCACAGGATAACAAAAATAAGAATTTACAAAAAAATAATTTTCTTCTAAAGACAGAAATCCATCATAAACAGTATTCAGAAAACAGAGTGACATGGAAATTTCACAAGTTACTAAAACTGCTACTGAAAGGAGAGTAGTCAAAATGGTCACAATTTGGATAGAACGTCTAAAAAAACCAAAAACAATTCAAATCCAGTGTTTCATGTTGTCAAAGTATGCTGGTTTTGGCAGGGGTAGACTTATTTTTCTTCACAGTAGCTAGGAGGGGGCTGCATTTTGGATTTGTGCTGGACACTGTTGATAACACGGGGATGTTTTAATTACTGAGAGCAGGGCTCCCACAGAGTCAAGGCCTTTCCTGCTCCTCACCCCACCCCACCATCTCCCCTGGAGGTAGCTGAACACCTGCCTGTCCATAGGAAGTAGTGAATTAGATCCTCATTTTGTTTTGCTTGTGTGCACAGCTTTTGCTTTGCCTATTAAACTGTCTTTATCTTGACCCACAAGTTTTCTCACTTCTACATTTCCAATTCTCTCCCTCATCCCACCAGAGTTAACCACAACAAACGGTAATACAAATGCTAACATGCATATATGCATATAAACTATACAATTTTATATTACGTTCTTCCACTATCCAAAACAACAGGTGTAGGACTTCAAAGCACAGTGTCATGCTTCATACCATTTTATAAAACTTGTAACCTTATCAGGATGGTCCCTTTTTTTGAGTCTTTAATCACACCAGTATTTCTGAGATACTGATCAATGTCAGAAGAGTTCAAATTAAAATACCAACTCAAGAAACATATATATCCTCATGTAAATAACAATGGGTTTGACTTAAAATATGCTTTACAGCTACACTGTTAGATTAGTAATTGTAGTAGGATGGAAGAAAATGTTTTCATTGACAGAACAATTTATCACAGAATTAATTTACCATTACACTACAATACCACACTACAGGTTTATAATATTTCCAATTAACATTATTTTTTAAGCTCAAACTAATGTTGCAAAACAGTCTGAAAATATTCAGTATAAATTAATTACTTAATGTAAAAATAATGTTCTGCATCACATAAAATCTACCTCTATGCTTCCATATGGAGGTTCTCCAAATTGGATGCCTGAACCAGAGTATCTAAATTCACTTAGTTCCAGTTGTGCCAAACACTATGAACACTAAGGAAAGGGGAATGCATGTAACCACAACCATTTAACACATAACTGTTTCAGCTTTAGTGGAGAACAGAAAGATAAGTTAAGTAAGTGTTGACTATATGGCGCTACTGAAGTTGTTTGAAAATCCATTGTATAGATTCAGTAGATATTTCCAGACAAATATTTCACTTAGTTACGAAGAAATTTAAATCAAGTATCAAAAACATGTTTTAATACTTCGCCCAACAAAATTTCAAAGAAAGCTAAACCAACTTTGTATCAACATTATATAAAATATAACTAACCATATTTGTTATAATGCTCTACTTTCCAAAAATTTTAATTCATAAACTCAATCTTTTACCAAGTATGTATGTGATCTGTCTGAAACAGAAGAACATCTAGCTATCAACATACTGAAGAGAATTAAGATTTCTTCTGATGCCCTCAGAAGGCATCCCTCTCAAAAAGTTGGGGGGCTTTGTTTATTTTAAGAATCTTGCATTCTTCCTTGAATTAGGTGCCGGATTTTCTCAGCATCTTCTTCTATAGTTTTATTTTCACGATCAATCTTGAGAGCTGCTTCATAATCCAGGAGACCTAATGTAGACACATTAATAAGAATGTCAATCAATAATGCAAGAGCAGCCTCTTTAGCAACTAACTGGAAATAACTGGTCCCGAGTCCTATGCACTAAGTATCGACCTTGAGTTTTGCTATTGAGCAAGGTGGAATCAGAACGAATTAGGTTTACATTTTTCAGTAAATAAATTTATATTTTGTTTACGTTATTTTACAAAACATTTTAGTAGAAACACTCTACTAGATAAACATTTCATTCACATGCATATACACATATATATATGCAGGCATGCATGAGGGGACTGTTCGAAAGTGTTTTGCAGAAGACAGAAAAATTGAATGACAATTAAAATTAATGAAAAAAGAAAGAAATAAGACATGAACTGTAAATACTGGATCTGAGGGGAAAAAAAAGTAAACCATGAGTACAGGAAGTAAAATACAATCTTGTTTAATTGCCTTTTTTATCAGGTTTCCAAGTGTAAATGAAGCTGTAAGGGGATGGCAAAGGGATCCATAGGTAGAAAATGGTAACCAGTGTGAAAAGCTTAGCATTTCAACACTGACACTCTGATTACTCTTCACTTTCTACTATTGACTTTCACTTTTAAATTTGCCTTACAAAACTAAACTGATACTCTTAGGAAACTCAGTAGAGATACGGTTAATTCAGATATTTTCACACAAATCATACATGCTTGATAAAACATTTTGCCCATCAATATGGGTTTCATACACCATTTTACAAAGATATGTTCCTAAGCATTTCACAAGCAAGTATTTTAGAAATATTTCTGGTTATTTTATGCTAATTTGTTCCACAGTTGCAAATACTCTTAAATATAACCTCAAAACCAATAAAACGTTGCTTAATGAACATCTAAACTAGTGCAACCTAGTTTCCTAATGGTTTGCATCCCACATTTGAATGCGTTACCTTATCTTTGACCCCGCATTTGTTCCTCAAAACTTTCAACCTAAATATAAGGAAATACTTCCTTACTGTGAGGATGATGGAAGACTGGCACAGGCTGCCCAGAGAGGCTGTGGAGTCTCCATCTCTGGAGACTTTCAAAACCCACCTGGATGCATTCCTGTATGGTCTGCTCCAGGTGATCCTCCTGCTCTGGCAGGAGGTTGGACTAGATGATCTTCAGAGATCCCTTCCAACCCCTAACATTCAGTGATTTTTGAATTGGAATTGCAATTAGCCAGTAAATTTAGAATATGTAAATAAATAAGGAACATGATATAAAGGTCTATAACAAAAAAGAAATAGATTGTACCAGTCTTCTTTAATGCCCCTCCTGAAAAAATAAAGGTGTGAGCAGTCTTCATTGAGCCAAAAAGAATGACTTGTATGCCACTATAAATCTGTGTGCACGTTTTCACAAAATCAAGGTCTCACCTTCAGTATATAACTCCAGCTGACAAAATGCTGTTCCACGTCTCACATATGCTTTTACTCGAGCACTCTCATTATCAGGAACAGGTGGTGTCAGCAGTTCTAGTGCCTTTACAAATGAAAACACCCAAAATGTTTAGAGGTAGATTTTCCATAATTTTGGCTTTTTCCTCATCTGCACACACTCACCTAATCATTATTATTATAGAGTAACGAAATTATTCAAATAGAAATATGAAATAACTATTAAAATTTAACCATGACTGGCTTGTGGATCCAGTCATTAAGACTTGTATTCGCCACCCCACAGTTTGCTAAAGACAGTTTCACTGCCACAGGTAAAAACTGACAAATACAGTATTAAATGTTCACATACACAAACTCATAAAAACAACAGTCAGATATTGTATTCTATTTTCGTACATGATATTACATACCATGCTACACAAAAAAAAAGAGCAGCCCTAAAGAAGAATAGGTATTGTAGTAGTAGTAACTAGAAAAAACAAGTTTCAAGACTCAAAAATTTATTTAAAAAATAGTAATTCTGGGAAATTTTTCTCCAAATTATTCAGATGCCATTTGAGATCACTCATCTCTCACTACTCAAATAGGCTGCTAAAACATCAAGATGATACAGGTCTTCTTTAAAAATGTCTGGTTTGTTGGGTTTTATTATGGTAATCTTCTCATGACCAACCCTTTAAGTTTCTTTTCCACCAAACAAAGAACACCACAACATAATACAAAAGGTATCTGTGGTTTGTTGAGGTTTTTTTGCTCGAAGTTGTCTTTTTTTTCAAGTGTATATATTGCTACAATATTTTACCTGTAAAGAAATATGTACTGAGTCAACATATGGCCATTAATCCTAAATGTGTAGCAGCATGGTTTGGGGTTTTTTTTTTGGTGTGATGGAATCACAGAATCATTTAGATTGGAAAAGATCTTTAAGATCATCAAGTCCAAGCATTAACCTAGCACTGCCAAAAGTTTAATTTAAATTTCTGGAAGTTGATTAATCAATCACTATAAAATTTAAATACTCACACCACAGCTTCAATGTATCAATTTTGAATTTAAAAATTTTGAATTGAATTAGTAAGTATTTACTGATTTGCTTGAAACAGAAGTACACAGTAATAAATCCCAATCATGTAGAAGATGACAGCCGGAGAACCAATATATTTTTACCTTAGAGGAATCTTCAATAGCTTTATGGAAATTTCTCAGTTTAAGGTGGCAAGCAGCACGATTCAGATACAGCAGGGGGAGACGATTGTTTAGCCGTACTGCAAGGTTATACACGTTTACAGCTGCAAGGTAGTTTCCTGTTGCAAACATTTTGCTAAGTATAAAACAAAAAGTGAAACACACACTGTAAACAAGGTGACAAATCACAGAATAAATACCTATTTATTGTTAACAACTAATTTTCCAGGAATTAAAATTTTAGCAACTTCTCCTTGGGAATGGCTATTTAAAGCAGACACATGCTACAGACCTAATATTTCACTTAAACTTTCACTTCCATCTTCAAATGGAATCTGACTTACTTTCCTTTGTCCTTCAGCCAATCTGGATTTTTCTCCTCTTCTTTTAAATCTTCCAGCTCAGACAAATCAGCATTTACTGTTCTTCGAGCTTCTGCTTGTTTACACAGCCACTATAATAAATATACATGTGCAAGTATTGTTTCTGAAGGAAAATTCAAATCCGAAAAAGGATTTTTCTTTCATGTCTTTACTCACTCCTATAAAAAGAATTCTATTTGCCACCTATGCTGAACAGAGAGAAATAACTAATAATGTCAGATATAAAAACTTCCAAGTTTCCCCAAATATGTTATTACTGTGTGAGAAGTAAGGTTACTGCATCACTAATACATTTTTGTTTGTTTGCTTGTTTTGGAACTTCCAAAATGGTTCTTTTGTGTTCATTCAATAGAGCTCAAAACAGCTAACTGTGAGCTGCTTTTTAAGAAGACAGAACCTAAAGAATGTTAAATGTAAGAGTAAAGACATTGCAAATTTTGTAATTCAAGGAACTCAATTAATATTGCTGTCTTTTTTTTCCCCTCCCAGAAAAAGGAGCACGCCACTTATTAATCTGCACAATCACATGCTTGGTGAAAATAGCTTTTATATAAAGGTCCTTCTTTAAATCCTAATTTAATTAAGACTGTCTTCCTTGGCAGAGAAGAACATTGCACAGGTAACATTTTTTCAACTTACTGAATACATAGTAAAAAAGTCACCACCTTGGAAGACAGTAGAAGCACCATACTAAAACAGAGAGCAACCCTTACCTCCTCCTCCTCTGCAACACAAGATTCTCGCAGAGGTGTAGGAAAAACTCGTGATGTAAAGTTGATTTTAATGGTAACAGCAGATCGAGGAGCTGGTAACTGTTCGTCCTTCAAATTTTCTGAAAACATACTATTGGAACCATGACCTATGAAAAGAATTGGAGTATTTGAAATTAAAAACAAAGTAAAAGAGATTTTTCTGTTTTTCTACCAAAGTCCAAAGGATACCTAATTCAGAAATTCTGCACATTAGAACTAAACCTCTAATCGCTTGAGAAACATTTAGACTTGTTCCTTTGAAGGGAAGGTTCAAAATATGTTTGTTCTTGCTGTATCATGACATCTATTCTCTCTCACAAATGAACTTACACTCCTTTTACACCACTATCTCTGTCACTTATACTATTCTTTGACAGGGCAATGGCAAGAGCTAAAGCTAACCTTACCAAAATAAACAAACCAACTAAAAATTAAGTATTTTCTGTTCGTTTAGTTCCCTGAATTGACCCTCTGTGGAGCCAAGACATGGGATGGAGTGAAAAGATATCCCATGTTTCTATGAATACCAGCAGTTAGGCAACTTAGGGTAACGTCAACTCCACGCTGACAAAGTCTGCATTACACTGTCACAAAGGCTTTCTGGTTTATTTTCTAAAGCTTAGAACAAAACGTGCCCTTATATTTCCAAAGACTTAAACGACCGCTAAGAACTCACATGCTCTAGCTCAATAAATTGCATGCAAAAAAAGAATCAGGCATCGAGAGGCGTCCCTGCCCACGACAGGGAGGCTGGACTAGATGATCTCTAAGGTCCCTTCCAGCCTAGGCCATTCTATGCTTCTATGGTGAAGACAAAGATAAATGATGAATAAGAAATATCTAGAAATAAAGTTATACCTATACATTAAAGAATGATAGAATACACTTCAATAACACAACCTTTAGTAGGTTTAAGTCTGGTCTTAGAAGTTCCTTCATTAGGAATCCTAGTGTTGTTAATTTTTTCCTTTTTCTTCTCACTGAATTGCTCTACTCGATGTAGTGCCCCTTCTTTTTGTATCCTGTTTTGTTTCTCGGCATCACTTTGCTGTTTTTTCCATAACTCCAACTCCTCAGTGACCTTCTGCCGCTCCTTCTCTTTCAGATCTTCAATTCTTTTTCTTTCTGCTTCTTCTAGCTGTTTGAATGATAAACCTGAGACATGTAACACCTGATAATAGTAAGCTGATTAAGTAAAAGTTACCGTTATTTTCCCAGTTTCATAACCCAAGCATAGCATCATCATTAACGTGATTGTACAGAGTTATGAAAGATCCTTAAAAATTATTGGGAGAGTAAAGATTTCTGATTAGCTTTTAAAAGTAACAGCTTTTAATTATTTTACTACCACCACTAAGGTAGCATCCAGAAACATTCAGAAGTAAGTTTTACTTGAAAACAATTAAAATCCTAGCCATATTCCAATGCAGATCTCTGGAATAACCAGAAATGTAAAATATATGTCTTCATTTTAACACACTATTTCTTGTTTCTCCTCTTTTCTTTGAGATTATTACACAGAATAGGTAAAACATTGCTACTAAGGAAGTCAAAAACTACAGTTAATTTTGCTCCAAACTACATATGCATCTTCAAATTTCATTGTAGACTTTAAAAAAATCATTTTAAATGCAAATGAACTGACGAGACATTTTATACACATAAAAATTCTGAAGGATGTATCCTAAAAAAACACATAAAATGCAGAACAACAGACACACACACACAAAAGTTAATGAATGGCAAGTCTGACATAAAATATAATGATCAATAAATACTATTTTTAAAAAACCCAAACAGTATTTGTGACAGTGCTAAATGACTAAAGACTTGCACTAATGCAAAGGCCACAAAAGATTACAGTTTTGCCACACTACTGTAGTCTTCTTTCAACGAACAAAGACCTGGGCTCCTCACCAAAAATTATTAGCATTACTAATGGAAAATGGAAATTTCTACATATTGTTTTCTGTATCATTTTCCTATTTGGTAATAGATATGTTTTAAGTACAAAGAATTAATAAAGCTCTCCACCGCTGTAACAGAAATCGGTAGTTTTCAGATTTTTTAAGTTACATTTAACCAAGGAGCTGCCAAATTAGTTGGTAGCTGTTTACATGTATACGTCCTGTAGACTACCTTCTAAGTTTACCTTCATTGTGGCCTCCAAAGCATATTTTTTGTGTTCCTGTTTTGTAACTTTTTTTGCTTCTGTCTCTTCTTTTGCCTTTTCATGGGCTTTTAGAACAGCATTCTCTCTCAGATATTGCAGCTTCTCCTTGTTAGCTTAAAAAACCAAAAACTATTTTAGCAATTTAGGCCTGAAGTTCTACCGTTACGTACCTTATTCATAAAAACAGGACTCCTTTTGCTACTTTGTCTGGGAAAATACAACATGGTTCAAATTTCACAAAGCAGTCTCTATCGAGCCCATCTCTAAAAAAGGAATAATAAGATTCACTTACACACAAAATATAAGTTTTACAAGAAGCATTTTGTTTTGTGTACAGTAGAGCCAGTAGATGTTCTCTGTGTTTTCATATATTTTCTATTTCTTGACAACGAACAACAAGGTTTGACTTAGCAGATACCTAGCTGAATAAGTTTCACATTGCTTATCATAGTTTGTAAAGTCTTGGCACAGTTTGGGTTTCTTACATGCAATCTACTTTTCACAGTACAGAACTCACCATTTGCTAGAGTGAGGGAATCCCACATAGCCGCTTCCTTTTTATACAAAGTGAAGAAAATTACTCCATTTCCAATCTTTGCCGTGCTGTTTGTGTCATCAATAGGAGCATATAAAAATGCTTCAAACAAAAAGGGAGGGACGCATACCTATAAAAACATAATTACTCTGTACTACTATTTACAATTTTTAATTAAATATCATATATTCAAAATACTTAATACAAGCATGCAGTAAACCTCAAGAAACACCTGCTAATGACAAATTTATTTGCACAATATCCAGTATGGTGGTTATATATTCCATTAGACCAGACAAAAGAGACGGAAAAAGTTTTTTCTTCAGCACAGCAACTGAAGCTGTTGACCTCCAATTTAGAATTGTTATTCATAATATAAGCAGATGCA